TCATTTTTGAACTACTTGAATGGCGTATCCATCAATTTATTGGTGTTGCATCAGCCGATCGGATGGAATTATATATATTATGATATAATTAAAACATGAAGGAAGCATCAACAAAGGCACCTCGTCCCAATAACAATAATAAATTAATAAATAAATAAATAAATAAAAAAATAAATAATACAAAATCAATAATGAGAAAAATACTCAGTCACACAGGACTACCAGTAAAGTGAAGCACATAACATTCGTGATATACATGTGTTATGCATAGCATGTGTGTACATGAAATAAAGCAAATAAAAACGAACAGAGCAAACAGAATATATTCTTTTTCAAATAATTGTATTAGATATTTGTTTTGTTCTATGTTTTTTGCATGACCATTTACCGAAAAGATTAAAAACTGTAATGCACTTCCAAATACTTATTTTGTACATTATGACATACATGTTTACAGGGAACATTTCATAACAAAAAGGAGAATAATTTGGAATGCGATTTGTTGAAAAATGTGTGGATTAGAACAATATAGATATATAGAAAGGATTTAACAACTGCTTACAAAGGTGATAGAATACACTGTGTAGGACAATTCAACATACATGCGATACATTGTCATTTTGCCGTTATGGATGAAGTTGTAAATTCATACTACTATAGGAAAAAGTGCTGAATTACAATATTTGTTTTCGTATTTTGCCCGAGAAATTTCCCGGAAATGTTCTGCCTCATGATTTTGGCGAATTGTTAATGCAATTTTATATCCGCTTTTAATGTCTGATATTCAAGACGCGTTTCTGCAGATATTTTTGAAGTCCTCTGAATGTTATAGATAAAAAGTACATGTATACAGTGTTGTAGTTTGCTATTTAGCAACCATTATGTGAACCGTATTTGCCGTGTTACTTGAATCATTTAAAATCGTTATAATAACAACAATATAAACACATCTCGACTCCTACGGTACCAAATTATCGAATAAACTGAAGAACAATATTTACACATAGGACTTAATTTTGTTCGACGTAACGAAAATGTGCAATTTGTCGACTGTTTTTGGTACAAGTCAAATCAATGATTTTAGTAGCCTCAGACGGAGATTTAGTTGCTGCGAAACGGGGTCTTTTTCTAAAAGCCCCTGTTAAACTACTTTTTTAAGGCTTGTGATTTTAAATGTGATTCAATAAAATTCTTTGCGAACTAAACTTTTTAAAGTTATGTAATAATTTTTTTCCCAAAAACTTCGGTAAAATGTACCCCCCCGACATAGATAAACGTCAGTTTCCCTGAATGGAATTTTTTTTAGGGGAATTTTTATAAATTTGATGTTATATTTTTTAACGGGGCCTCTAAATTCGATAAGTCGACGATTACTGACAATTACACTGGTACAAACCATTATTAAGAAAAAAGATGCAACTGATAAGTATACGAGGTAGATCAAAAAGTTCTCGACCCGATATACTTTCAGCCACTACACTGACATTTACACACAATACGTCAAAACCGATATCTAATTGAAGATTACTGACCGAGTTGCACGAGGTTTCACACAGATTGAATATCATAAAACACACTTTGAAAAGTAGCGGAATGTGTCATTACAGCCGTCATTTATACCTCTGTAAGAATGGGATGTCCCAAAGACTTCATGGATACACTTGGGAAGGAGTCCCCTTTCTTTAGCACTGTGAAAAATGGGCTGCTGAATTAAAGAGAAACAGGGAGAGCATTGGAGATGATGAGCAGCAGGGCGGCAAAAAGAGGCCACCAACGATGAAACTGCCGAAGCTGTGCACGATCTGGTCAGGTCCGACAGAAGACGAGACCTGCAAAGTATTGCTAGGGAAGTCCGTATAAGCTTTGGGTCAGTTCAGAATTCTGACGGATGTCTATGGCATATGAAAGGTTTTCGCTAGATGGTCCCGAGACAGTTGACTGATGACCAGAAACGAACCAGGCTTGACATTTCAAGATATTTTTGCTCTCTACGAGGATGAGCTTGATTCTATTTTAATAAAATTACCGGATCGTAACTCAGGATGAAACATGGGTCCATCACTTCGATCCAGAATAAAAAAACGAAAACAGAGCATTCAGTGAAATCATCCTGGATCACCCCTCCTAAGAAAATCAAGAGGATGCCATCAGCAGGGAAGATGATGGCTTCAATATTTGGGATAGTCAGAGGATAATCATGATTGATTATCTTGAGCAAGGTCGTACCATTAACGGTACGTACTATGCTGACTAATTGAGACGTCTGCGCCAAGAAATCGCGCGTAAAGTTAGGGGCAAAATTAACCTGACTCATAGCGTTTTGTTCCTGCACGACAATACGCCAGCTCACACATCCTTAGTTGCGATGGCTGCTGCAACTGACTGAGGCTTTGAAATTCTTCCCCATCCCCCCTCCCCATATTCTCCGCACTTAGCCCGCTGACTTCTACCTGTTTCCGAAACTGAAAACCAAGCTTCGTGGTAGAATTTTTGGTTGCAATAAAGGTGTCATGGAGGCGGTCAATGAGTTCTTTGAGGACCAAAATAGAGTTGTTTTTTTTTTGAAGGGTTAACCAAGTTGGAGCACAGGTGTGCAAAGTGCATTGATGTAGAGGACGATTATATTGAAAAGTAAGACCATAAGTTTGGTTCTCTCAACTTTTTGATCGATCCTCGTATGTGTCTGTCATAATATAGGACACATAAACTAAATGACTTTTGGAAAATATAGCGTAGATATTTTATTAGAAGAAGAAAAAGGAGTGAAAACGTAACTCAAAATGATAAAAATATTGGAAATGGCACCTAAGATAGTTGATTTGTTCAAATCAAGGATCATGTACTTCAAGGCAGAGTAAAGGTTAATTATATATTTAAAGTAATAACAGGTCGCGATAATAGAATTGAGTCTGCTTGCTTAAGGTTATATTAATTCGAAAAAAGTGATTATTTGTTTGTTTGTTTTGGGTTTTACGTCACATCGACACAGTATAGGTCATATCTGGACGTTCCAGCTTAATTGGTGGAGGAAGACCTCAGGTGCCCTTCCCTGCATTATTAGTATTCAACCCAATCTACTATATCTTTAAGGAAGCAGTGAAAATTGATGAATATTTGGAAGCACTGTTTCTACAGACACTCTCATTGGTGCAAAACAATCGTTTAAAACAACTTGAAGAGTATATTTAAAATTGAGAATATAGTTCTAATTGAAATGTTAACCGGAGCAACATGTCGGCGGGGGTACCTTTGTGGTGATATTTCTTGCGCATTATATATTTAGAACATAGTGTAGCTTTGAAGTGGCAATTTTACTATATGTACCATTATCATGCAGTTTATCCGGAACAAATTAAATTATCAAACTAGTTGTGACTTTCTTTCAAAATAGGTCATTGCTGAAAAGTTATCAGTTAAGTTTATGTGGTTGACAAATAAAGATGAGAATGTGTCATAATTGTTTAAAGTACTATTTAATATTAAAAGGTATACGCAATGAAAACATTTCAGCCTAAAAACAATGAATGTAATGTGGATTAATGTATTGAAAACTAAGTTTAAAAGAAAAGAGTATTTATATAATTATCAACGTAAGAAACGTGATTTCTAAAAATACAAAGCAAGAAGACATAAAGTAAAGTTGATGAGGATTATTCCACAGTTTTGTAGATTCTTTTACTGAGCAGGAGAAAATGGAGAGGGGAAATACAAACTCTGATAAATGGAAGAGGCAATATTTGTGAAAATGAAAATATTGTACCAATTCAAATTTTCCAACATACTGAATAAGTATGGGATGTTTATATTGTTCTGATTCTAATTTGAATTTTTTAAGTTGTGACAAATATTATCTCTACTTTGGTTTACCAAATACAAATCCTTTAGTGAGATATTCAATGCCGACACGTAAGATGTCTTACTTACCGCCAAAATATATTATAATAAGTTAGCTGTTAATAATAAGAATAAAAGACATTGCGTTATTTACTACGCAAACAATTTGATAAATAAGACAATTTCATACTTTTATACAAAAGAGGCGTCAAAATTCATCCAAATAAACTAATACTGCTGATAGATGGCCCAAAATGTCAAAGTTGTGATACATGTATGTATAATAGCATTTTCTATGATTTTAGTGGTTAGAAATATATATAAAGCGTATGTTTAACAAAAGTATGTGATTTTTTTAAAGGGTTGATGTCCAATTATGGATAAGGTGGATAAGGTCAAGAACTGAAATTATTACACTTGTTTATTTCTGTTTAAAACAAAAAAGGCATAAAATATGTTACACTCAAACTATTTTTTGCTGGCACCCTGCAGTTTTTACTTGAAGTAAATAACAGTGAATGATGGTATAAAGAGAACATTTTTATCGTTTGCCTGTGTTTGAAGCACCGTACGTTTGTTACGTCATCAATAAACCTGAGGCCATATTCCTGAAAAGTCTGCGTATTTACGTTATTTAAAGGGTTGCATTATTATATTTCAGTTTCATTAACACCATATAACTGTTACATTTTTATTCCTGTCTCTGCACGAATGACTTGTTTTTATTTTTTATTTGTATTTGTCTTTAGTAACTTCATGTTTTGTACAGATGTCAAAAAGAAGTTTTCCATTCAAATTGTTTTCGTCCGAAGATGCTATTTAACATTTCTATTTTGGTTTTACTATATATATAACATTGTACGAGTACTAAGCTCCCGAGTTTTCATATCTTTTTGGGGGCTTATGTGATAATTTTATTTCTTTGTGTTTGTAATATTTGTTCAACATTATTGAAGTAACATGTGTTTCTCTAAATTAAATATTAAATGCCTACGTTTGTTGAGAGTCTTATATAAATGATTTCCTTTAAAATGATCTTTTAAGGTGAACGAGTTGGACGAAGTGTATCTATATCTACAATAAATTGTTTTAAATAAAATATAATTGGTATTAATTTAATAGAACTAAACAAACCTCAATAATTAGTTCTATTGAAGCCAGGAGGATAATTCCAAATATGACAAAAGACGCAAATCCAGAAATTGGTTCAGCCTCGTCTGTAACCTTTTGACATTCAGAAATATTGGACGGCAAAGAACTGATATTTTCACATTCAGAAATGTTGGATGGCAAAATACTGAAACAAATAGTGTGTTGCGTAAGAAATTGAAAAAGTAAAAAGAAATAATATTCAAATATCATATCATCCAAAAAACAAAAATGAAGGACAAATGCCTTTGTCAATAGTTGTATATCATCATTAAAGGATAATACACAGCAAAGCATAAAATGTCTTTGTATGTGAATAAATTATATTGAGTTTCTATATCTCAAGAATTTCTGTTCAATGTTTGATACAATGAACACAAAAAGAAATTTCATGCTGTGACATGTACATGTATTTATATTAAATGCAATGCATGCCTGTCAAAGGCGTAACACGCCTTAAATATTTAAGAATTGTATTCTAAACCATTGTGTGACTTGGTTTTCCCATTATATAAATTTAAAAACATTAAAAATGATAATAAAAACCAATGATTAATGTATGAAATTTATTGACATCCCTTTCACGGTTTCATATTATCAACAGGGGGATTATGATATTAATATGGAAACGATGTCAACGTTTATAAATACAAGGGACGCCACACTACGAGTAAATAACGTCAGAACTTATATTTAGTTATGGTAGAAACGTTTGGATGATATATTAGTTTTGCTTTTTTTTACAATACATATGCATTCTTTAAAACGGAAAACATAAGATGTATACAAATACGCCAAATTTATAGGTATTGTAAAATGTATATACAATCCACGAAGAAAATCTATTTATTTACCGACTTATAATTTGAACTGAATCATTGGGTTATAACCATTTTATGTAAAATGCATTATGTTTATGTGTATACATCAAGTCATATTATTCAAAAACTTACTTTTTGAGCTGGTAAGGTGCTGGTAATGAGAGTGTAAACCCTGTCAACAGTGCCAGAAAGACGGCATAAACTAGACAGTTCACAATACTGAATATAAGACCAATGCTTGACCATTTCTTTTTCAGTAGAGCAGACACTAAAGGGTGATCTAACAGTTCATTTCGTTTGGATTTTACCTGATACAAAAATTATTTTTGCACAATTCATTAAAAAAACAGATAAATATTATATCATTAACTCAAATAACTCTATATGTAATATTTTTATTACCCAAAACAACTATTGTAATGATCTGAAATATGCAACAAAACTGAGCTAGATTGCCAGTTCTTACAAAACTTATGAACAATTCCAGTCGAAAAATCAGACGTTGATTGACCATCACTGTTTCTACAAAATGTATCACATATTTATTTTATTTCAAAAGTACTACTACCCTTGTAACTGTAAAATAATCTTAGTCACGTTGCACACTTGTTATTGACAGAATAAATTCAATTGGTTTATTTGAAATTTACGTTTAAATTACAAAATGTTATGGTTAGTAATTAAAAGGAAAGTAAATTATTAGAAATAAAATATAAGTAAAAAACATTTCTGTTCAAATCATTAGCTTACCATTATCATCAGTGGGTGGTTTTCCTTAATGTGGTTTCTATCATTTGAGTACGGACCTCCTGAAAATATGTAAATACTTTTCATCTAGACTATTGTATGGATATTATTCTGAAGAAAAATCTAAAAATATTTCAGTTAAAGATGACATATGGTAGGAAACCTTTGTTTTAAAGTTTTAAATGAACATAAAATATCATGAATAACGTTTATAATCTACCGAGGTACTTACATAAACAAAACTCTGAACAATACTTTAATACTAACTACTTAATTTATTTATTTATCTGCAAGGCATAGTTTGTATAATGCTTCCTTAATGTATGATAACTTTCCATTTCCAACTGTTCTTTTTCATCTTTTTTTTGCTACTATAGGAAAATGAAAGCAAGTTCTTTCTTTTCGTATTTTTTTTATTTTCATCGTTTTCGCCATTGTTTTTTTAGGAAGAAAACACGTGGTCCAGTATTTATTTAAATTATAGTAGAGTAAATGAATATTTTTCAAATTAATCACAATCGAGTAATATGTCATTTAATTAAAAAAACTTTCAAGGAACATGTTGAGAAAAACCCCGTTTTATGATTTACTTTAAATGACTCTTTCGAGAATCGCCAAAGGGTAAATTCGTTTTGATATAGGTCTGCAGCTTATTTTGTGATAATTTTGTTTAAACAAATTCATGTTTTTAGGATTCCAATTCTCTTTGCTTAAAATGAAAATAACGAACACGCATGTTTATTTTATTTCCAAGAAATTGTGCTTGTTAAATGTAAGAAATAACTGTTATAAAACTACGGTTAGCCAGATTTATTTTAAAACTATTTTCATAGACATGGTCCAAAAATAGAGTACAAATTTAAATTCAATACTTAAACGAATGTTTGCAGGTTGACTGTGTATGTATTCTGTAACGGTGAAATACGCCTTAAATTGTTTTCTCTTTAGTACTCATAAGTGAGAGAATTCTTTGGAAGTTTTATTGTCGTTTATATGGTTTCTATTTAGTCAATATGATTGCAAATAATTTAAAGTTAATGTAACTCAATTTTAATGGTTTTATATCATAAATCGTACACTCAAATGGTGATGTATCAAAATTGTAAGTTCAAAAAAGCATTATTTGAAAATATATTATCGAATTTACATTTCATGTAGATAAGGGAGGTAATTAGAAATATTTTTTCGATACAGTCCAAGACAAATTTTCAAAAAGAAATAAATGTATAGATTTTGATGATTTCTTATAATGCGATTTAACAATGCAGTACAAACATAACATATTCTTGGAAGTTTGGAAATTGCTTTCAAAGAATAATTGTAAAAATATATACTCTTTCACTTAAAGTGTTGTTTCATCCTATATTACAACATACATACTTTCAATGTTTTGTCTTTGAATTGTACAGGCTTAAAATGACTATCGTCTTATTCTTCAATTTGGAAACAGGAAAGGGTTGTATATTCAGCCTCCAGACTACAAAATTTTCTTAGGTAAGGTATAAAACTTAACTTCAGTGTTTTTATATGTTCTGGGGCGTGGGGGATGTTGCACTTAATCACTATCCCTCATGACTCAATAAAACCGAGTCTGCAATTTTCATGTAATTTTGTTGTGATTATTGCTTCCGAGGGATCACTTTGTTTCCAAATAATTATATAATGCGCACACAAAATAAAGTTGTACTATAAATGTTTTATATTTTAATCTAATATTATAGCTATAGAAGTTTCTAAAATCAAAGAAAAGTTACACAGGGAAGTGTTTCTCTATTTATTATGTATGTATATAAAAGAAAAAAAGGCCATAATTCTGCCACAAATGTGCGCAAAACTGTTGATGATGATGATGCTTTTGTAAAAGTTTAGTAAAAAGTGCTCGAGAAATATAGTAGGAGTTCAGAACTATAGTGCTTTTCTGTATCTTTAAATGAAATAAATAGAAAAATCAAAGGGCACTTATTCCACCAAAAAATGTTTGAATACAGGGAAAAAGCGCATCTTATGACAAAGCTTAGGGAAAGTTTTGAGAAAAACGCTTTGGAATGTAGTAGGAGTCGAGCACATTTTGCGATATGATTTATATCTTTTATTCGGTTATTTCAGAAATGCATTTGAAAGCAAAAACATATTTTCCTATATATTTAAGGGGTCATAGTTTTGTCGAAATGTTTGGATTGCAAAGCTTTGTCAAAATGCACCAAGTCTTTTCGTGACAAACCTTCTGTGAATGTTTGGTCAAAATCCCTTGTGAAATATAGGGATTATGCAAAGAAGTGTATACACGTATCTTTATTAGAAACAAAATATAATAATTCTGCCCAAAATATCTGGGTCACAAAACACCGGCAGAATCAAAATTTGGTAACTGCAACTCTAATGGTTGAATTTTTAAGATTCTTTAGCTGAAGTATCTACTTTTTCTACATGGCTTGCTATCCAACATTATTTCAATGACTTGGTTTTAAAGATATTATGAAATCGCAACAAGTGTTTCTTTTTCATAACATTAAGGGATTTCAGGTTTAGGGATAGAGAATCTGAAAACAAAGATACAAATTTGTTACAATTGTCCTGTTAAATATATAACATGCCTAAATCAAATGCCTTTGCTTCAGCAGTAAACATAGATGTATTATCAGGTTGTCTCATTCTAAATGTGAAATGGATTTCAAAATCGGATGCACCTACTTTTCACCGTGTAACATAAAAAAATATTTATATTTCATTTTGTTTTTGTTATACAGTAAACTCCAACTGTATCGATATCGCTTGTAATGATATATCGGTTATATCGATACGTTTGTCTTGGTCCCTGCCAACTTCCATTATAACCTAACGGAAGCATCCTCGCATATATCGATATCGCATGTATCGATATTTCGGATATATCGATGTGGATTTTAAACCCCAACGCACATATATTACCTCTTAAAACGATAATTTGCTGCACAAGTTTGTTGTGGAAGAGCGGTCTCGGTCCGCTTGTTTTAATGCATAAATATCTGCTCGATTAAATACAATGACGCGGAACATGTTCTGTGCGTACGTAACTACCGTTTTGTTCTCAATACAGGTGAATTCATCTCAAAAAATAAAAGCATGCGTATAGAAGTTTCTAAAATCAAAGAAAAGTTACACAGGGAAGTGTTTCTCTATTTATTATGTATGTATATAAAAGAAAAAAAGGCCATAATTCTGCCACAAATATGCGCAAAACTGTTGATGATGATGATGCTTTTGTAAAAGTTTAGTAAAAAGTGCTCGAGAAATATAGTAGGAGTTCAGAACTATAGTGCTTTTCTGTATCTTTAAATGAAATAAATAGAAAAATCAAAGGGCACTTATTCCACCAAAACATGTTTGAATACAGGGAAAAAGCGCATCTTATGACAAAGCTTAGGGAAAGTTTTGAGAAAAACGCTTTGGAATGTAGTAGGAGTTGAGCACATTTTGCGATATGATTTATATCTTTTATTCGGTTATTTCAGAAATGCATTTGAAAGCAAAAACATATTTTCCTATATATTTAAGGGGTCATAGTTTTGTCGAAATGTTTGGATTGCAAAGCTTTGTCAAAATGCACCAAGTCTTTTCGTGACAAACCTTCTGTGAATGTTTGGTCAAAATCCCTTGTGAAATATAGGGATTATGCAAAGAAGTGTATACACGTATCTTTATTAGAAACAAAATACAATAATTCTGCCCAAAATATCTGGGTCACAAAAACAGCCGGCAGAATCAAAAATTTGGTAACTGCAACTCTAATGGTTGAATTTTTAAGATTCTTTAGCTGAAGTATCTACTTTTTCTACATGGCTTGCTATCCAACATTATTTCAATGACTTGGTTTTAAAGATATTATGAAATCGCAACAAGTGTTTCTTTTTCATAACATTAAGGGATTCAGGTTTAGGGATAGAGAATCTTGAAAACAAAGATACAAATTTGTTACAATTGTCCTGTTAAATATATAACATGCCTAAATCAAATGCCTTTGCTTCAGCAGTAAAACATAGATGTATTATCAGGTTGTCTCATTCTAAATGTGAATGGATTTCAAAATCGGATGCACCTACTTTTCACCGTGTAACATAAAAAAATATTTATATTTCATTTTGTTTTTGTTAATATATAACAATGCATTAGGATTAACTTGATTAACTTTAGGTTTCTAAAGAAAGCGCTAGCATTTTCACAGTTGGTATATGTATGTGTTTATTACCATGGAAACTGCCCATTTTCAACAATTAAAAAACGTCAACATAAATGTTTTTCTTTTTTGTTTTTGTTTTTGCCTTTGCCATGGAATTTTACCTTAAATATATAAAACATTCGGGAAATTCTGTTTCATAAATTCTTTACTTATCTTCAGAGTTCATGTTTATTTTCTCAGTTTTGTAAAGAAGCATAAAACACTAATTATTTAAAATAACTATGTTCAGATAATTGTTTGTTTTATACAGAGTAAACATATAACGTATGAAATCGTGTTTACTGTGTGTTTTAAGCTGTATTATATTTTATTATTTTCTTCCGCACTGTACTTGTACTCTAGATCTATCTATAAGTTTCTTGTTGATATATTTTTCAGTTTCAAAGTTATGTTCCGGAAAATGTTAAAAGTGTAAACCCCCCAAAAATGGCAATAACTCCAAAATTAGGCATGGCAGAGATACAATCAATAAATCATCAATAAATTACAATCTGATTGAATATACATGATAATGCTCAGCAATACGCATAATACCCATATTGTTATTCAACATGAAGCATCATTTTCAAAAGTATATTCAGTTATATTATATTCTTAAAAACAAAAATGAAATCAGGCATAAGTATTTGAGTCAATTGTCACAAAGTATTAAAAGTTAAGTAAAGGCATAAACGTACCTTTACGTTCCTGTGATTCTGCTGTCTGACAGGGAAAAATAAATGTACGACAATCCTCACAACCTACATAAATTGAAATAATATTTAATTATATTGATGATGTTTTATTCAAATAATGTCATTTACTATTAAAATAGAATCTTTTTTATTTATAATTAAACAATTTTTAATTATTACATTACGTTATGTTTAAAAATTAGCATTTTGTAGGAGATAACATATTCAACGAACATTCTCAATGAGTTTTATTAAGTCTGCATGTTGACAAGGAGATTTCGGTTAAATGTATTGCTTTCTCTAGTTTAGCTATATCGAACGTTTTTTAAACTTTCTTTAAACACTATCAATGAATATCTTTAATTAGTCTCATGTAAATCTACTGCTGTAGATATGTTGTCAGACAGATATGCACGTTTAAAGCTTCGGTGGTCATCTTCTTCATCAAAGCTACCGCATTGCAGCAATACTGGTTACAGTTTGCCCATGAATTATACATAGTAATATTTATTTGGGGTTGCTAGGAGCTGCCGGCAAAATACTTTTTCATTTTAGTTATGGCGGGATATTGTTAAGCAATGTGGAAAAATTTTACTAAGCCTTTGTACAAGAAATTTGCTGGGGAAAGTTCATAACTTACGTAAGCTTTTGTTCGGAATTAATTAAAGGGTGTAAATCAAAAATCATCTTTGTCCTAATCAGGTTTACAAAGCGCTCTCATTTGAAATATTCTTGTTCGGACAATTAATATTACCGATTGTTGCTAGAAATTGTTATAGTTTAAAATCTGATTAAATAAAATCTAGTAACTGCATGTGATAAAAAAACTAAAACTTTAATTTGACTTTAATTGATTACTTAAAGAAATAATAGTATTTATTAGAACATCAAAAGTTGAGAGAATCCATATAAGAACGTACATTTTGATTCTTCGTAAAATCTTGATCCGTCGCAATACTGGCATCCTGAAAGTATAAATACACAACATTTCAAACATCCAACGTGATTTTGTTTTCACTGCTGAACATGATTGAACAAGGTTGAACATGATCATTAAACGCAACCATTTAAATTAATTTTAAAATAAGTACGTTCACGGTTGCCATGTTCTAGATATATTAATTGGTGAAAAGCAGCAAGTCTCCAGAAGATAACAGGAAAATCTACCGTCTTACTAATATTTCAGGCCTTTTTTGAAAATATTATAATCGTTTTTTGAAAGAAATCGAAATGACACTTGAAAATGTTCAAATTGTAGCATTTTTGCTCTGGAAACAGACAATTCGCTTTTCCGTCGACGCGATATACCTTCTTTTATTATACCAAAGAATTCTTTCATCCGGCTTTTTGCTAGTATCGCGTGATGGTATAGGACAATATTGCGACCTGTCATCCGAAACGCACGGAATCCGTGATCGTATCAATAATAAAGGAAAACGATTAAACTTCTTTCACGGTGACCTATTTCATCTACAAAATTTTGCTAGTAAAACGCGATAATTATCGCCTCTAATGGGCGAAATGTAGTACTAAATTTCGCATGTAGTCTCGCATGCGATAAGTTACCGAATGTTTACAAATCTTTTGAGCATTTCTAGGTCTAAATTGGCCTTAAAATTATATATTTAGACTGAAATTAAAACTTTAGAATTTTCAAGAAAAGTAGATAAAAATGACATAAATGAGACATGTTTGAAAATAAAAAGAAAGGAAATACTAAGATCATTGCACTTATTAACATCTGTCAAAGATAGTCAAACGATAATAAATGATGAAAAATGAGAACAAAGATAAAAAAGGAAATGGCGACGGACACAGAACGCAACCCCGACACAATCCACATACAAAAGCCGGGAAAAGAAGGGACAAATGATAAGAACTAAAAGCTGCCGATAAGAGCATAAAAGGGACAAGGGGTGTAAGGAAAAAAAGGAGACATAAACAGGGATGCTACCTACCAAATATCTAAGCTTTGAGGGTATTTTTAGACCCTGTGACTTACATCAAGCTGTAACCATTCATATAATTTTTATACCATCTACGGATTATTACTCTTAAACTCGGTCAACATTCAAGTCGCTCACCTGATTTTCAAAACAACAATTGTTGCGGAGATTGGAATTTTGATTGTTGTTGTTGTTGTTGTTAAGTATCGTTCTTGTTTTGTACATGTCTTATCTTCAGAAATGTTTTATTTAAAACTTAGGTCACAAAAACCAAATATGGTACAACTTTGTTAACACTCTACTGGTGGCATATTCGTCCAACATGTCCAGGCAATTTGTCAGAAAGATTGATTCTGTATTTCTCTATTTGATGATAAATAAAGCGTTAAACAAGCTTATATACGGTAAAAAAGGTTGGACACAGAGCCATTATATGGAAATAACAGTCTACAGGTTGCATTTTTTTCTGTTCGAATATCCTGGACATGTTTCATATTTCTTGCTCAATTCCGAAAATAGGGTGTCGAAGGGGTCAAATACCAGGTCAAAGAGCCAAAATATGTGACAAAAATAGTGTCAACATTTAACAGTTAACATTTTGTCAGGCCTAATACCCTGAAATTTGTCTCATACATGTTTTTTGCTCAAGTCCGAATATGGGTCGACAAGTGTAAACAAACTAGCCTTAAATGGTCAAATGGCACAAAAATAAAAAAAAACTTAATTTCAATTTAAAAATACACCGGCAAGGAAGGGTGACATTAAAGAAATGCATACCTAAACAAAACACAACGGTACGCAGCCAAGCAGAGCACACGGGCAAATCACTGACGGGGTTATATATTTTAAATTGGAAATCATAAAAACTTAAAGAAGAAAAGTCTAGTTGTGCACATTGTTGACATTTTCCGTTTATTGATTGTCGTCAGAGTTATGGGCCTTTAATGAGTTTTTAAAATTTGACCGAAGTATTTTCTCATACACACAGGAATTTTCAATGAAATTTTACAAGGTACATTGGTACTTGCGAATATTAAACGGGTTTTCGGTTGTATGATTTTTGGCTTAGTTATGGCCCTTGAATTTGCCTGTAAAATTGTTAATGATTTGTGTCGCCAGCTTTATTTAAGTTGATACATACTACAACGTAGCCACAGCTTATAAAAATCACAACTTAAAATAAAACAGTATAAGGCCAATAATACTAAAATAAGTCGTCAGAGCTGCGTGATTGTACAGTTTTTAAAATTATATTGCCTAAATCTGAATCCATGTCTTAAAAAGTGCTTAGAAATAAAAACAAGAGGGCCGTGATGGCCCTGAGTCGCTTAACAGAAACAACTGCTTATCCATTGTCAATATTTTCTATATCAAATTTGAGCATAGAATTTGTTTAAGCCATAATTTGAAGAAATGTCATGTCTGGGAAATTTAAGTTTCAGCGCCCCTTAAAAGGGGCCAATCAAATTAATATGAGCAAACTTGATAAAAGACTACCTAAGAATGCTACGAAGTTTGGTGATCATCTATCAATTATTTCAGTAGGAAATGATGTTCAAGGTTTTTCTATTTTAAGCTTTAGTGCTCAAATTAATATGAGCAAACTTGATAAAAGACTGCCCAAGAATGCTACAGACAAAGTTTGATGATCATCCATCAATTAGTTCTGTAGTAGATGTTTACAGGTTTTTCTATTTTTACCTCTGTTGACCACTGAAAGGGACCAAATGAAAATGACATGAGCAAATTCAAGTCTGACTGTCACAAGAATGCTACAGACCAAATTTGAAGTAAATCTGCCCAGAAGTTTCAGAGAAGAAGACGATTTTTGACGCATGAAGACGGACGACGGAGCATCCCCCTTTGATACTAACAGCTTGCCCTGAAATTTCAGTTCTGGTGAGCTAAAAAGTAATCAACGGTCTTTACGTTTGCTTACATACTAAAGTGCTTAACCAATGCTAAAATTTAATGCAAATATGTATGAAAATGATTGAATGGCATAGTGTCGGTAAAAGCTACAGTAAACAGAAAACGAAAGCGATCCAATTACTTTCAAAATCATTCTTTGGTGACAAATGAAATACATGCAGCTTGAGAATGGTAAAACGTGCTTTAAAAAGTGAGTTTTTTGCATTGGATGTCTGAACGATCCCTGTAAATTACTTTGTGTTTTAACAAATGCAGGTAAACGAAAAACCTGTTTTTATTTTTCCACCTTTCTTGGTAGGCAAACGATGAATACACTGACATGGGTAGCACTCTTTACATCGTACCTTATCTGCATCTGAAATGATACAATCTGTGCCAGTTAGTAGTTATGTGAAAATGATAAGTTTTTAATTTAAACATATCTGGGGGATGGGCTGTGACGAAAGCCATAAAAAGGCTCAAACAACAATAAATCTTTAATTTTCTGTTTTGCCGTATAAATTGATTTATACTTGAATTCAAAATTATCTTACAGAAGTCGTAATTTCTTAATGTTAATACACTATCGTACTTTTTTTTCCTCTAAAACCTCTTACCTTCTGATGCAATGAAAGTATGGAAATTTTTCTTCCAGCCATAAAGATGGTTTGTGTCATCCAAATATTTATACTTGAACACAACTTTAAATTCGTTTTGAGATCCTCCAATTTCTGTGCATTTATTAAACACCTCCCTCGCAACTTCTAACAATGAGATTTATAAACTGTATCAAATTTCTTTTAAATATGATGTACAAGACATATAGTAACAAGTACGTTTCTTAACATATATCGGTAAATATGAATTAGAAGTATTTGAACTTTCATCAGGTTGGCTACCCACCAGTTAAAATTTGACGGACATTCAATCAAGTAGTGCGTACATGGCTTATTCTAAATATCTTTCCTCTATTTTAAAGCATCTGTGAACAACAACAAAAACGGGAATAATAAACAGTAACATGTGCCAATGTAACTTTTCCGGATGCATGTAAACAATTGTTTCTGTTGAATTTTAGTTAACCAAATTTAAAAGATAATTTTGGTAGTAATCGTAATTCAAAATATGTACGACTTTTAAGATATTTAATGTATTCTCCAAAACTCCAAGAAAAATAGGTTATTGTCTTCAGTAACAATACATCAGTAAACAGTCATGCTTTCGAGTGGAGTATTCATTATAAAACAGAATCATAAAAGTCATGTGATTTGATTCAATGCCATAATTTTTGCATCGGTATTCCGGATCATAGTCTTATAAAAATGCGGACGATCTTTTTGCCGGGGATTGCTTGTGTATGTAATAAATGTATAACTGTACGCTATTTTCCTATCAAACAGATAGCGTGATAAAGAAATGCATTATTACACCACACTAATGATTACAACTCATATGACGTCACTAAACATTTGTTTATAAGCTTGTTAGAATAAAATAATATATTATTCTTTCTTGCGTTGTTGTATAATAATGTACATATAATCGTTTTTAAATGCTTTGTAATTAATCACTGAGGCATATCGGCCTTCGTGTTTATATTCAAGTGCATTTTCACTCGGACCGTGTATTATTCTACAACAATGCACTCAAAACTGATATCTAGTTAAAACCATTATAGTAATTACCATGAAATGAAACGCCATCAGTTTGCGACATGTAACAATATAACTTGCCTTCGATAGCTAATTATATGCTGATCATACCTGGCATTTTTCTGATAAGCTTTCTCATCGGAGTATCATTAAACGAATCAGAATCTGTCCACGTTTTTGTTCGCAACATTTCTTCCCATTGTAATGTTTTACTTCGAAGAATTGCTAGAACTATTTCACTGAAAAGGAAAATCATGTTAATATAATTTTCTCAATATATGTTGTAACAAGGAAGGGCGGCATTCAATGAATATATCCCCTTACACAGAACCATCATAGGAGGCCAGTAGTACAGGAACACACAGGCACAAGAAAACAACCGGAGGTTTTGTAAAAATAAATTATACATACAGGAAATCCTAGAAACCTTACAAGGTAATTAAAGAAAAACAAGGGGGGGGGTGAAAGATACTTACATTACAAGCCCTTAATCTCTTGCCTGAATAGATGGTTCAAATTGACACGATTAAGATGTAATTTATAAGTTTATATTTTAAGCTTTGGCAGCAGTCTTGATCAGCAGACCGGAACCATTTGTGCATATTTTAGAGTACCCTCAAACGACCATTTATGTATAGTTTAAAAAAGAATCAACCCATAGTTAAGGGAAAGATGTTGTTTAAAGTATTTTTTTATTTTTAGCTCTGATAGCCATGATGTGCAGCAAACCGGAACCATTATGAGCATTATTGCTCTATACTTTCATCAAAAAGTGTTCGATAGTAAAGGAGGAGATGTGGTTGAAACTCGTTTTCTATTTTTGGGTTTTGCAGTCATTTCTTTTCATAACACCGGTCTTCTCGATCTGTATACGGTGTGACGTCAAAGACATTATTTACACCGGCCTTTGCAATTATCAAGCGGCTTAGGGCAACATGATACCCTCTCTAATGATTTTTGCGAATGAACTGGATGTGTCCTTAAGGGTGTTTACATTTTTTATCAAAAGGTCTGGAGGTAGAGAGTTCCATTCTTTCACAGTATTTGGGAAAAAACTATACTTTAACACATCAGTACGCGACTGGATACGTAAGAAATGTTGACTATGTTGGTTCTTGGTAGATCTTTTACTACGTTGTAAAATGTTTATATTTATATGTGCTTGTTTGTTTACACCTTTATTCATTAATATGAGTCTATTTTGTTGTCTTCGTTCCTTAAGGGATGGTAGATTTAGTTCTTTCAAAAGGGTTGTCATAGTACCAGGTTCGTAATTATAATTTGATGTTATAAATCTAACTGCTCTCTTTTGAACACTTTCTAGTTTTTTCTTGTAGATAAAGTTGATGTGGGTCCCATGCTGCACTACAATTTTCTAAGACTGGTCTAATAAGTCCTTTATATGCTTGTAATTTAACTTCTAGCGGGCAAGTTGATAGATTTCTTTTCAAAAGTCCCAGAGTTTTGTATGCTTTGTTACAGATTTCTTCCACATGTTTTCCCCAGTGCAAGTTACTTCTTATATGGACACCAAGATATTTAATAGATTGTAGAAATTCCAGTTTTGTCCCTTGTAATGTATATTCATAAGAAATTATTTTCCTTTTTCTAGTTACAGTCATCATGTTGCATTTTACCGGTTGAAACCTCATACCCCAAGTAGTTGCCAAATGTCCTAGCTTGTTAATGTCCTCTTGTAAATTTCGCAGTCTTTTTTACTTAATATTTCTCTGTAGCAGACGCAATCGTCAGCGAATAACTTTATGTTTGACGAAATATTGTCTGAAATGTCATTTAGGAATCGTCATTTATATGAACCAGGAATAATATCGGCCCTAACACTGTACCTTGCGGAACACCGGATTTTACTGATGAAGTGCTAGATTTGCTACCGTTCACTACAACACACTGTGTTCTCTGTGTAAGGAAAGAGTCTATCCATAACAAGATGTTTTGAGATATTCCATATTTGTTCAGTTTACTTTTCAATAGTTCATGAGGTACTGTGTCGAACGCTTTTTCGAAATCAAGAATGAATATATCTGTTTGTTTGTTGTTATCTATAGATGTAGCACAGTCATGGATGACGTTAACAAGCTGTGTTTCGCAACTATGATGTTTTCTAAATGCGTGTTGACGATTATTCAAAATACCGTTTTGTTCTAAATGTTGCATGAGGTTGGAACAGATTATATGTTCTAACAATTTACAAGTAATGCATGTCAGCGACACAGGTCTGTAGTTACTTGGAATGGATCTATCGTTCTTTTTGAACAATGGGCAAATGTTCGCATTCTTCCAGTCTTCTGGAATTAATCCGCAATCAATTGACTGTTGAAAGAAGTGGGCTAGGATTTCTGATATTTCATATGAAAGTTCTTTGAGTATTCTAGGGTGGATGTTATCAGGACCCATTGCTTTACTCGGATTGACATTTTTTAGAATGTTTTCAACACCTTTTTTAGTAACTATAATTTTCTTCATGGTTTCAGTAGAAGGTTTGGAGTACGGAACAGAACTGTAAATTGTCTCTGTAAAAACACTAGTAAATTGGCGATTAAGTGTTTCGGCTTTATCTATGTCTGTTTCAGCGGATTTACCGTTTCCTGACTTTAAGGGTGGTATACCTTGCGAGTCTTTCTTTTGACTACTTATATATTTCCAAAAGGGTTTTGAGTCCTGTTTGATGCCACCAATGAGATCGTTAACAAACATACTGTGTGCTGATTTCAATTCGTTATTTATAGAACTTCTTAGAATCTTCCATCTTTGTTTAATCTTTGAGTTGCCAGTTTTTTTATACAAAGCATGTGTGCGGTTTCTTCTTTTAATCAGACGCTTAATATTATTATTTATCCAAGGTAGAGACTCTTTTCCACCTGACATTTTGCTAGGAATGTTCTTTTCAGATGTACTTATTATAAAAGTTTTAAACATATTCCAGTTTTCTTCTACTGATCTTTTGTTTTGGTAACCATTAAAGTATTTGTATTTGGAAAAATTAACAGCATCTTCCTTCATTTGAGTATAGTCACCTTTTGAGTATTTAAAAAGTTTACGTTTTGGCATAGACTTCCTAGGTACATAACAGCTGAATGTTCCCATAATGGCGTCATGGTCACTAAACTGATCTGGAGAGTGAATGTTGCTAAACTGACCAGGTAAAGTTGTTACCAATAAGTCTAAGGTGTTACTTTCTCTAGTTGGAAAGAGAACAAGTTGTTCTGCACTAGCCTCGTTTAAAATGTCTATGAATAATTGGCCTTCACAGTCTGATAAACATGAGTCAGTATCTTTATTTAGTTTAGATGTCCAGTTTATTTTACGGTAGTTGAAGTCACCCAAGATATGGATTGCTGGCTGTATGTATGACTTTCCAAAAGTTTTAATTTTGTCTAATTGTTCCTTTAAAAGATTAATATATTCAATAGGGGCATCAGGTGGTCTGTACCAGCTAGATATATAGTGAGGTTTGCCATTGGAGATAATTTTACACCAAACAGATTCAGAACCGTTTTCCAGTGATTTCAATGGTGCCGGATTTAGGTAGGATTTGACGAGCAACATTGTTCCTCCTCCTTTAGCTGTCCTATCGTTCCGATAAACATTATATCCTAAATTTTCAGGGATAAGTTCATTAGACATTATGCTAGAGTTTATCTTTGTTTCTTGTAATGCTACAACATCGGGTTGTTCTGCTTCTAGGTAGGCTTGTATTTCCAGTTTCTTCCCTCTAATACTGTTTATGTTAATTGAAATAAACTTTATTTTTCCATTTATTTTAAATTTCTGTTTTTCAACAGTTTGCTTAATATCTGTTTCTTCCGTAAGGACTTCAAATTGATTCCTAGTTTCAAAGCTGGATGAGAAACTTGAAAAGGATGTTGATGTGTTGTTGTCGTTACATGAAGGACAAATCCATGAACAGTTTGTAGTTTGGATGACGAGATATTCGGCATCAGACACGTACGCACATTGATTGTGTATCCAAAGTTTGCAATTTTCACATTCAATTGCTGGATCAGTGTTGAATATATTTCCCGTACATATACCACACGGTGCACAGCAGTTTTGGCAATACCATTTCTCATTGCTGCTTTGCAAATCTGAATATTGTTGGTCATCAATAGAAGCGCAACGTGCATGTACCCAGGCATTACAGTCATCGCACTGTAAACCCTTGTCACGACTTCGCACCAGTTTAGAGCAAGATCCACAAGAGTCTTTACAAGGGCCGGGGTTTGTTTCGATGTCCCCCGATATCAACAACAGAGTCAAAACAAACGGGTTACATTGTTTATATGTTTGTATAAATGGTTTCCAAGTTTTACTACTACCATATCCAGATAGATTCAGATATTGATGGATCATATTAGGGATATTATGAATAGAAGTGAAAACTGTCCCATGAGTGCAGGCCTGGTGTTTTGCATGTAGAACTTCTGATTTGTACACATTTTCATAGTCAGACAATTTAACACGAGTTATAAACATTAAAAACAGTACATATATAAAACTACTAGTGGTCATGTTGACAGGCACAATGGTAAAATCAATAAATCCTCAGTTAAAATCCTTAAAAAGTTTCTTAAAATCGTAAAAAGTTCCAAAGCACACTAAAAAAATATCCAAGATGGCGGATCCCGCGTATAAAATTCAGGCTCTAAAAATTAAAACTAATTTTCTGCTCGTAACAACATAAAATCCTTTAAAAACTAAAACAGTATTGTTCATAAAACTAAAAGACGATTGTTTTCATCCAGTTCACGACTAAAACAACCATAGAATTTAATTAAAATAGGAAAAAACAGTCCGAAAAATTTTCGAGAGCTGCCACTTGACGCATGCGCAAAACCCACCGGTAAAGATTATGTTACTTTACTGAAGGACTGCCAAATAACTATTTCTATACAGTTTTATTTTCAAAATGTACCCGGCAGTTAAGGACAAAATGCGAAAATAACACTTTTTTTCTATTTTGACGGCCATCTTGTTCCGTAGACCGGGACCATTTGAGTAATTAAATACGATTATCCAAGGACCATTTATTGTAAGTTTCATCAAATTCTATCAAATTGTTAAGGAGGTGTAAGTTAAATGTGTTTTCTATTTTTCGGTCAGGTGGCGACCACCTTGTTCAGCAGACCGGAACCATTTAAGCTATTATATAGAATAGATAAATACAGAATCCCTAAAGAAAGCCCAACATGGCACAATTGAAAATGTTTCAGGCTCGGTTTGTTGAGCCTGTTCATGGACGGTACTTGAAAAGTGCAAGTTACCGTCCACGCCCCCTAGCACCGGCTTAAGCAGAATTCAACATTTAAACATGAAATAGTAAAATTTTGAATTTAGAAACATCCGCAGATGTGTTCATACGGCGGTTATCATGGAACCTTCAATGTGACACTTCCGTGCCATTCCATGAAAAGCGACGTATGGTCCCCCAAGTAATAAAAAGCGTGTGCCCTAAACGAGAAAACAATGGGCGGAACTAAATAAAATGGAATTTTGAAAGGGGATCAGAGGTTATGAAGCCTGCGTATCACAGATAAGACGTCAAAAGACAAATTTAAAAAGCAGGCAACATATCCTAAGGGTGATTCAACATTATTCAAGTAGGAATATTGGAACCACCCAACTAGAAAATGCCGAAAAGTTGAAACTTAAAATACCACAAGCACAACAATTATGTCGTGCTGAACGATCTTCAAGGATCGAAAATATAACATCATTGATTAAATGTACGGGGAGACTTTTTACAGCCGCCACACGGCACAAATAACACGGATGTGATCATAAAATAGATAAATACAGAATCCCTAAAGAAAGCCCAACACGGCAAAATTGAAAATGTTGCAGGCTCGGTTTGATTGAGCCTGTTCATGGACGGTACTGAAAAGTGCAAGTTACCGTCCACGCCCCCTAGCACCGGCTTAAGCAGAATTCAACATTTAAACGTGAAATAGTAAAATTAGGAAATTAGAAACATCCGCAGATGTGTTCATACGGCGGTTATCAAGACTATTCAATGACCATTCCTGTAGAGTTTCATCAGAATTTACCAAATAATGAAGGAGTATATCTCATTAATTAAAAAAAAACATTTTTCTATTCTTAGCCCTAGCAGTCATCTTGTTCAACAGACCCAAACCATTTGAGCAATTTTCATAGAGGCCATCTTGTTCACAGACGGGATTCATTTGAGCAATTTCTGGAGGGGACCTTACAAGGGTCCTTCCAATAAAGTTCAATCATTAACTTTAGAATTTTAGGAGTAGATGTCGTTAAAAAAAATGTAAACAACAAAAAAAAAACAAGATTGCATTTGTAAAAAATGGTATGCCACCGCATTATATAAAACAACACTATATAGAACTGTATGAAGTGTTTATACAATTGAACTTTGCCATAATGCAGTTGAGTCTAGTGAATTTGGTTGTCAAGTTCATATTTCACATGACCTTAATTTCATGACTGTACATCAAAGGACAAGAAAATAGGTCACATCATCAAAATCTAGGTCAGCTGATATCAAAGTACAATTTTACATCTATAACTCTGCGCATAGTTCAAATTTCATAGCTGTACATCAAAAGACAAGAAAGTAGGTCACATGTCAAAATCTAGGTAAGCTGATATCAAAATTCAATTTTACATATAAAACTGTGCACATGGTCAAAATTTAATGGCTGTAAAGACAAGAAAGTAGGTCACAATCCCCTTGAGCAAGGCACAATTTTTACCCAAGGGTGAAATTCAAACAATCTTGGAACAGGTCATAAATGTATGTATAATAATAAAAATATATGACACCGGGGCGGGGCAAATATTAACCCCAGGGTTATGATTTGAATAATTTTGTAAGAGGTCACTTGTGCAATGTTTAATCAAAATACTTAACTTCTAGCCGTTGTCAATTTAGAAAAGAAGCTTGTTAAATTTTACTATACACATATAAGGAAATCCTATGAACCCCTGGGGCAGGGCCAATTTTGACACCGGGGGCTAAATTTGAACAACTTTTTGTTTGTTTGTTTGTTTTGGGTTTTACGTCACACCGACACAGTATGTGTCATATCGCGACGTTCCAACTTTTACTGGTGGAGGAAGACCTCAGGTGCCCTTCCGTACATTATTTCAAGCACGAACGGGCACCTGAGTAGAACCACCGACGTTCCGTAAGCTAGCTGGAAATTTGATGGAGGACCTGAAGATGATACTATATAATACCAAATATCAAAACTCTAAGCATTGTACCTTCATCGACTCTAATCTACATACATGCATATGTACATGTACGTACATACATACATACATTCTTACATACATACATGCATTAAAATACATACAAACACACAGGTGAGTCGCTATATGCCACCGCAAAGCAAATGCTGCGCTGGCATAACAATATTTTTTATTCCTTACTCCGTACATATTTTTATGTTTTTCAAGAAAATGGTTGATATTCCTTACCTTGTCGTAAAACAGGACACTTTTTAATATTGTGATGATCATTTTACTTACGGATGGTTGTTGTCAATTGCTAAATCTAAACAGTTCCATTTGGAGTTGTTGACGTTCATCTTTGACTGCTCAGCAAGCATTGTAAATACTTCCGTTCTTCCATATGCGGCAGCATAATGAATTGGTCTCATCTATTATTTAAAAAGCAAAATATTATACATTATTTAACATATATCATTTAAGGTTCTAGCCGGTGCTAGGGGGCATAAGGGATGTTGGACTTTTTCATTATCCCTCATGCACAGACTCAATCAAACTGAGTTTGCAAATTTCATGTAATTTTGTTGCGATTAATGCTTTCGAGGGATCACTTTGTTTTCAGGTTATTTTCAAAGGTAATGTAGACCCCAAGATTTTCTCTGCGAAATACTAAATCAAGGAAATATGAATTGATTTATAGACGGACAAAAAGCTTTATAAATCTGTGGCTCAAATATGGTTACGGCAAAAGGGTCACTTAAATTAAATAATTATGCTTATTACAGACACAGTTAAGCGGAGCCTCCACTTTTCATGTTGTTTTGCTTTGATTAATACTTTCAAGGATTACTTATTTTTCCGGTTTGCTTGTCATTTACATGTAAGGTACACTTATCTTAAACGACATCTTCTCAGAAACTACAAAGCACGGAGCTCATTTATTTAGCATGAGACGCTTGTTTTTAGCCTTCTACAAAAGCTTTAAAAAGCATGCCACTGGGGTCAAAATTTGCCCCGCCAAGGTTTCTTAGCTAACTGTTAGTAGCAGTCAACATTTAAGGATAATGTCTCTGACGTCTGTCTCTGTATCTATGTCCGCCAGTTCGAAAAACTTGATACTTGCCCGGACTACTACCCAGCAAACATCCAAACTTAACATAAATTATAAGTACCAAGACTAGTTGTGCATATCATCTAAATGATGATGCCTTTTTAATTTTGAAGTTATGCACTTGTGGCCCTTCAATACAAATCACGTTTTGGTATGTTAATGACTGTTGTGTCTCCTGCTACACATTATCTGCATCATGCAAATGGCTATCATCAGGCGACATATGTGATCACTGATCGCTCTTGTTAGAAGTGTATAGGTAACTACGTTTATGTTTTCTTTTGGGAAATTAAAATGCCCAATCATGAACCAAGGGTCAAAACTGGTCCCGCCCTGAGTGTCATTCATACAGACTTGTTTAAGGAAAAAAATCGTAAGACTTCTCTCGAAAAGTACGATGTTTAGATATAAGATATTTGTTTTATAGCATTATCTTAAAGTCCTCAAAATATATTGAATTCATGCTGATGTGGTCAAAATTTACCCGTCCTGGGGTTCACTTACATTTTATTATATAATCTTATATATTCACTTATATAATATGTTCTATATTATTTCACTGTAAAAAGTGTGGTCAGTGATTAAATATATTGTCTGATGATAGCCTATTAAGCATTTATATGGGGGGATAGTTGACCATTGTTTTCCCTATCGCTACTACATTCTACAATGGTGCAGCTCCTGTCTAGCAGCAGCCACATACATCATTATCAGGCTAAAACATATGTAAACGAACGCACCCTCCCCCATCCCACGCGACCAAGCAACACAGGACAACCAGCAAGGAGTCAAGCAGGACCCAACACAAAACAAGTTAAAGCACGGACGGGGTCAAAATGCTTTTTTTATTCAAAGGCTAAAACTTTCATCAGGGAAACGCGTTAAATAATCGCAAGTCGTTGAGGTGCCGATCAACCTTGTAAATTTTCATTTAAATTACATAATTAATAATAAGAGAAGTAGTCCGGACAAAAGATCATTAAATTCAAAAAATCATTTAACCAAAAAATGCAACTACACAGACCTGGTACTGATCATTCTTGTAAAATTTTGATAAAATAGCATCTTTAGAATTTCAGAAGTCCGGACAAGTTTTGTGTCAGACAGACAGAAAGACATACTACTAAGAATACAGTATATCCTTATTAGTTGCATGTATCAGCTTCATTAGCACGCCAAAACACATTTTTATTCAAAGGCCATAACTCGGCCAAAATCATTCAACCAGACATCCCATGTTATATGTGCAAGTACTTTAGCGATTAATAAATCCTGTAATATTTCATTGAAATTGCATAATTAGTATGAAAGAATTAGACCGCAAAAACTTTAAAATAAAGTCATATACATGTATAGCTCTGACAAAAATTATGTAACCGAAAACTACCGACAATATGCACAACTTGCTATCGCCCTGATCATTCCTGTAAAATTTGATGAAATTTCATCGCTAGTTTTTGACAAGATTTTTGAAGGACTGCCATACAGACAGTTGTTTGTTTGTTTGTTTCATTTTACGCAAAAAAGAAAACATATATAATCTGCTGTAGAATACTTAGGTGACCTTTAAGGACCATGGGCCTCATGTTATTTCTCGGTGTTAAATGCTGTAATGAGGTCACATTTGGTGTTTTTTTTTACTATTTTAAAATATTTGTAGATGTCCGCTACGAAATGCTTAATGAAAATTCATTATGCTCTCGATATTGTACTTTATTTATAAAAGAAGAATGAGATGTATTTCCTGCACCATTTGTTTTATAAACTAAGGGACCCCAGGGCGGGACAATTTTGACTCTTTCGGCACAATTGATATAACTTTTATAGAGTACACAAGTTGATGGTGCAACTTCGCTCTGGACGTTGTACTTTCAGATAAAAGTATTTTCAGACATTTTTACAGGTCTATGTAAACTAATGATCCCAAGCTTGGGCCTGGGCCATTATTTTTACCCCCCATGGCATGACATATGCTGATTATCTATAGAGCAACTGTGCAATGCAACAATGCAACGAGCCAAATATCCTAGCTTTTGAAATAGAATGAAAGTAAGAATCCCTTACAAAAGCACAAAACGACAAAGTCGTAAATATTGCAGTCTCGGTTTAATTAAGTTTGTTCATGGACGGTAGTGGAAAGTGCAATTAACCGTCCACGACGCCAGCACCGGATTAAGCAGAATTAAACAAAGAAGACGAAAATGGATTTTGCTATAGAAGTCGAACTGGACATTGTACTTTTAGAAAATAATATTTGTAAGACTTTTTATGTGTAAACTGCGCTACAGAGTAGCTCTGACATGCAGGTACAGCTTTTACGTCGACTGTCGCCTCCGTGGTCGAGGGGTTAGAGTCGATGATTTCTATTCCAGTTAACTCTCTGGCGTGGGTTCAATCCCCGGGAGATGCTTTGGTAGTTTAGCGCGGAGGTAGGTAGTCTAGTACTGGTGTAACTCTCCAGGAACGATGGTTAGGACACTCCCCGCCTATATGACTGAAATACTGTTGGGAAAAGTCGTAAAATGAAACAAACAAAACAGTTGTTCTTTGTTATAATTAAATATGTTAGAATTTAAATAAGAAGAAATATGCGAGGATTAAATGTGAAATATTATATGTACATGTAATTATTAAATAAAAATGTCAATAAATAGGAGATTTGATATTAGCCCTGTTATTTGTTCTTGGGTCAGTCGACAATATCAAATCACTAATTTATAAACATAATTATAGTATGTGAGGACACATTTCCGTCTTATTTTGTGAAATTACAGTGCCAAGAACTAAAATATTTAGCATCTACTATTATCTTGTGAATGTTTGCAAATTTAATCATGCACCTGGGCTCGAAATTTGACCGCACAGGAATCATTTGATTAAAGAAATCACATTTAAGTCTAATTGTATGAAACCACAAGTCCCAGAGCTGAGACATTTGGCATGCAGCATCATTTTGTAGATTTCAACAACAGTTATAGGTGTTATGACTCTTAGGTCAAACATTGCCCTGTCCGGGAATCACTTGCTTCAACTAGACTAACCCATGGACTTTTATTTGAACAAACTTGGTAGACACCGATTTGAATATGTTTTATAATAAATATCTAAGCTCTAGCTGTAAGAAGATTTTCTAAGTTTTTACTATACACATATAGTTTAAAAACAATAACACCCCCTCTGGGCGGGGCCAATTTTGTCCCCAGGGCTTTTATTTGGTAGTCACTCACTCGAAGATAGTTCATGCTTAATATCTAAACTCTAGCTCTTTTGGTTTTTCAAAAGAAGTTTTTTTTTAAGTTTTTACTCGTATATACATATAAGGAAAATCAATGATCCCAAGGGCAGGACCAATTTTAACCCCAGGGCTCTTATTTGACCAAAAATGGTAGACACCTATTAGAAGATGTTCCATGCTAAATATCTTAGCTATAGCTCTTAGGTTTTTTTTAAAGAAGAATCTTTAAGTTTTTTACTATATACATAAAGGGGAAAAATGACAACCCCTGGGGCGGGGCTAATTTTGTCCCCCGGACTTTAATTTAAACAAACTTGGTAGACACCCATAAGAATATGTTTCTTGCTCAATATCTAAGCTCTAGCTATCTGGGCTTTTTAAAAGAAATTTTTGACTATATACATATAAGGAAAATCAATGATCCCAAGGGCGGGGCCAATTTTAAACCCCTGGTGTCTTATTTGAATAAAAATGGTAGACACCTATTAGAAGATGTTTCATGCTAAATATCTTAGCTCTTAAGGTTTTTTAAAAGAAGATATTTAAAGTTTTTACTATATACCTAAAGGGAAAAACAATGACCCCTGGGGCGAGCCAATTTTGACCCCAGGGCTTTAATTTGAACAAACTTGGTTGACACCCACTACGTCGCCTTATTCTAAAAATGTCCTAACTCCATTTTTACCAAAAATGAGATAACTGCACATTTATTTTAGTATTAGTTTGTTCTATCTCCAAAACAAAACATGTAAAGATTTACGTCATACTTTTGTAGATATAGCGTCTGTATTTTGTTCTATGTCCAATGGAAAGATTTGCTGTTAGCCTTTTTTCGTCGTATCTCCAACACATGTAACACTTTTAGGGTAATCTTTCGTGCCAGCCAATCAAGTTGAAAAATATATGTCATGTGACCTGAAGGGGCCTGACAATATAATTGTTCTAACTCCAGTGATAACAACAACAATCGTATCTAAATCAGCCAGCTATTTAGGAAAGTAACAGTTAAAAAATGATTTCTGAAGAATGTAAGTAATATATTTTAGCTTTTATACGTTTTATAAGTGGATGTATATTTTGCATTAGTATTTGTTTCATCGTATTATGATTCTTTTATATATGTTTCTCAAAGTTTGACAATCACATAATTTCGGATAATTATATTCGGATATTCGTATGAACTATTTGGAACTATTTGAAGTATCGAACATTGTTGTTGTTTAATTGTTAATGCTAATATTTTGTCCATTTCAGGTCATACTTACTTATATTATCAGACGTTGTCCTTACAGAAATGTTGTCTCTTAGAACTTGTGACTGCAGTTAGCAGAACTTCCACAAAACTATGCAATTTTATATCAACAACATCAAGTCTGTGGGGAAATTTTGACTTGCCATCAGTTTCAGATAAATCATTGTTTCAAGTCTTAAAATATTCACAAAAGATTTAGATATTTAACATTCCAATAGGATCGGAATACCACTGTCTTGTCCAAACATAGATTTTAAGTTTGCATGCGAGTTTCAGTGTTCTCCGGGTCATCAATGATTATATTTATTAGATAATAGCAGAATTCTTAAAGCACAATACGGCATGATCTAAAATGTTGCCGGCTCGGTTTGATTTAGTCTGTTCATGGAATGTCCAGTATCTACGTTGTGCGACAAACACCAATATGGGAGATAGCAAAATTCACTGGATGTAAAATCTTGAAAACGACGATTTTGCAATCTTGAAAGATTAATAACTTGAGCAGATATTTTTTTCATACGTTGATATTAAACCACAAACAATACTTGAGACTTTGAATGCATGTGGTATTGACTTTAATTGTGTGAATTAAAAAAAAAGTGTTCTTGGTAATATAATTTGGATATGTATTCATTTAATCACAATATTAGAGATGGTTACAATGATTTCATTTTTCATAATGGTACAAAATATGTCAGTTTGTTTTAGCAAGTTCATTGATTAAAATTTTTGTGAAATGTTTGTTTTTCTTCTTTTATGGCACACTTTTATATTGTTATTATCGAGAAAGGCCCAAGTTGGAGATCACGTGAATGAATTTACACTTTGACATAGTAATTTACAAAGATAAAGTGATTCAGTGTCAGCGGTTCAACCACTCTGGCTGAAAATGTTTTTTAGAATATAAAAATCTACTAATATTCTATAGTAAAATTATTACTCTTAAAAAATGTTAACTCAAAAAGTATTTACAATTTTAGCCTTACTTTGTCATATCTCCGCAAACTCATTTTTAGAGTAATTTTTTTGTCTAAAAATAAACATTTTTGGTCTATCTCCAAATATTTTTTTTAAATTTTTTCAATTACTGCAAATTATAAAGGTATATAACAAAGTGCTTTCATCACATGTTGACATAAATAATACCAATCCGGAAGTCCACACTGTTAGGAGTTATTAAATAAAAGTTACAAAGTCTTGAACCTTTAACCCCTTTTTCCCAAAAAAGAGGAAATTGTAGATACACCATTTTTAGAATAGGGCGACGACTAGAAGATGTTCCTTGCTTAATATCTAAGCTCTAGCTATTTGGGCTTTTTAAAAGAAGCTTTTTTACGTTTTTACTATATACATTTAAGGAAAATCAATAATCCCCGGGGCGGGGCAATTTTGACCCCAGGGCTTTTATTTGAACAAACTTGGTAGACACCCATTCGAAGATGTTTCTTGCTTAAAATCTAAGCTCTAGCTATTTGATCTTTTTTAAAAAAAGATTTTTTTAAGTTTTTACTATATACATATAAGGAAAATCAATGATCCCCGGGGCGGGGTCAATTTTAACCCCTTGGCTCTTATTTGAACAAAAATGGTAGACACCTATTAGAAGATGTTTCATGCGAAATATCTTAACTCTAGCTCTTAGGGTTTTTTAAAAGAAGGTATTTTAAGTTTTTACTATATACCTCAAGGGAAAAGCAATGACCCCCTGGGGCAGGGCCAATTTTGAACCCAGGGCTTTAATTTTAACAAACTTGGAAGACACCCACTAAAAGATGTTTCTTGTTTTATATGATAGCTCTAGCTATTTGGGCTTTTGAAAAGAAGCGTTTTTTACGTTTTTACTATATACATATTAGTAAATCAATAATCCCCGGGGCGGGGCCAACTTTAATCCCAGGGCTTTTATTTGAACAAACTTGGTATACACCCACTAGAATATGTTTCATGCTAAATATCTAAGCTATAGCTATTTGGGCTTTTTAAAAGAAGGTGTTTTAAATTTTTACTATATACAAAATAAGTTAAATCAATGAATCCCGGGGCAGCGTCAATTTTGACCCCAGGGCGTTTATTTGAACCAACTTGGTAGACACTGACTAGATGATGTTTCATGCCAAATATTTAAGCTCTAGCTCTTTCGATTTTTAAAAAAAAATATATTTTAAGTTTTTTTCTTTTGGTTGCCATGGCAACCAGAGTTCTGCTAGGAATTAAATTCTTTGGACAATGTTTTAAGTTGATTACCAAAGAAAAATTCCTGTGAAGTTTGGATGAAATTGGCTTAGCTGTTTATAAGGAGATGTCGTATAAAGAAAAAGTTTACGTACGGACGGACGGACGCCGGACGAAAAGCGATCACAAAAGCTCACCATGTCATTTTGTGACAGGTGAGCTAAAAAAGAGAATAAAGATCAACAAGGCAAGCAACGTTCACAGACCGCAGCCCCCGGCATGTTTTAAACAAGTTGCTTCATTGGGCATACACCCCATTAGGCTTGGTTTGATTAAGGCTGTTCATGGACCGTAATGAAAAGTTCAAATTACATCGATAAATATAAAGTTGTTTCATAGACTTTGTAAACAGTCCTTAATAATTGTTTGTGTAAATTTTGATAATGGCACGGGCAGGTTGTTAATGTAATTTTTATAATGCCATGGCCCAATATTTAATGTAAATTTTTATAATGACACTAAAAGCTTTTTCAAGAATAACTGTAAAGCATATGTCAGTTTAGTTATTTACTTTTAGAGTTTATATTCAATTTAAAGAGATTTTACTGATTGTTATTTCTTATTGGATAAGAAAGAATGTGTCAATTTTGAAAATAAAAGTCGAATTAAAACATACCCAAAAATTGTCTTCCATATTGATATCTTCACCATCGTTTATCAATTTTACAACATCATCTAAATTTCCGTTTTGCGCTGCTATGCTTAAAACTGTCCTCCTATTTTCAGATCTATAATGGAAATGAACATTTTAGTGAAATCTTCATCTAAAATATATAAAGTTTTTCAGTGAAATCTTTGGGGTTGGGTCTTCTCTTAAATTAAATTTATGTAATTGACCCTTACAGTTAAGGTAATAGTGACAATTCTGATATCAATCAATAGTATATTTGGATTGTTGGTCTCATAATATAAGACTTAATAAATAAATTAATAAAAGCGTTCGAGTCTGCAATTCTCTTGTAATTGTGTTGTGATTAATGCTTCCGTGGGCTCATTTTGTTTCCAAATTTTTATACTTCACAACAGCAGGTGTTCATGAAATCATGATTAGCTGTTCGGGTTTAAACATAAGAATACATATTTATTATATATGCTTGCAATTGGACAGTGAAAATATATTTTGAAAAAATCACAGTGAAATGAAAAGATATATTTTTCACTGTTACAGAAGCCGGACTATATGTAAATGCTGATGAAATGAATGTACCCGGTTTATTATATAAATAAAACGTCACAAATAAACTCTGTCTTGAGTTTAATGTGTGTGAAAAGGAGAATACATGTAGTCTGCACAAATTATATTTAAAAAGAAACAATACTCTTGAAATTTAACATTAAGTGTTTCATGGGCTTTGTCTAACTGATCTGTGCCAAGTTTGGTTTGTTCAAATTAAAGCTCTATTGTAAAATTTGGTACCCCCCCCCCCCCCGATATTTATTATAAAACATTGTCTATTTGATATGTACATAATTCATTCAAGTTATATTCTTGGGGTCAAATTTGGTCCCGCATGGGGGTTCGTGTGTTTTCCTATAAGTATATAAAAACTATGAAACCACTTAGGCTTGAGCTTAGATATATGGTATGAAACATTGTCAAGAAGTTTGTTAACGTTATGGTGCAAAATGACCCCGAGGGATTTCCTGATATGTTTATAGTCAAATCATTTAACAATCTTCTTCTCCGAAACCGCAGAGCTAGAGCTTCAATATTTGACATGTTGCATTGGCTGGCAACTGATTACCAATGTGTCTATAGTATAGCCCTAGAAAAAAAAACTTGGCCAAACCCGGGGATTATGAGTTTTCCGTATGCATAAAGTTAAACTGAAACTTTACAAATTATGACGTAGATTTTTGGCAATGAATAATGTCTGGTTTACCTCTTCTTCAAAATTAGACCCCTTTTCTCGGTGTCACCCACGAAATTTGGATTAACTGATACCATTGAGTAATTAACCTGATAGACATACGTTTAAATCAGAAACTGATAGAAATCATTGGAACATGAACTTTGATTTGGTAAGTAAACGTTATAGTAAACAGAGCTCTTTTTGTCGTTTTGGACTACTTATTTTTCAAATTATCCCATTTTCGAAGTATTATTTGTTTTCATCTGTCAAACAATTAAATGACATAATCATGAATAAAAATTAAACATACCTGTCCGTGTCTCGACACTCGATATTCCTTGCTTTTGCCATTTAACTTTCTACGTTTTTCTTCATGTGAAGTCCTTCGTCCAGTATACTGCATGGTGAAATTAAAAACGTTTGTCTGTTAAAGAATTTGAATAACCTTCATTGAAAATGTCTTTAATTAACAAATACAAGTATTAACCCAATAGTTTGATCTGTAACAGTTATAAACAACTACGTTGACCAAGATCAGCTGACATATAAGTCCTTATTTCATGGATGTATTAATACAAATCACTATAATGTTCAATAATATGAAAACAAAATCAAGAGCTGTCAATGAAAAGTGACTTATGACCCCGAAAGAAAGCTTCGATAATATCTATTCTAAAATTGTATTAATTCCATTAGAAGTGTAGGAGAAAAAGTCTAAACAAATTTTACTAACACAAGATGTTACTATTCATAGCTATGGTCGCAATTTTGTGGTGCGGAGCGGAACTTTTCGATGATAAACACAACAAGGGATGGTGCTGAAACCTTCTGTGGAGTTTCATTAAAATCAGATCAGCATTTTAACCTGTGAAAGCCGGACAAGATTTGCCTATTCATAGCTCTGGTGGCCATTTTGTGCAGCGGAGTGGTACGTGCCCGCATTATGCACAACTAGAGATGGCACTGATCATTTCTGTGAAATTTCATTGTAATCATACAAACAGTTTGACCTGTGAAAGCCGGACAATAGTTTTCTATTCATAGCTCTGTCGGCCATTTTGTGCCGCTAAGTGGAATGTTTAGGCAATTTTAAAACACTCTTCTTCGATTTCGAATAGCAAATTAAAAAGCAAATCATTTTTTATATATGTCAAAAACTTTTGATAAAAGAAACAACCAAAACTACTTATTCCCGTTTATTCTACTTTTGTTAATATTTGTCATGATCACTGTCTTAGATTCTAGTCAAGACGAGGCAAAGGAAGATGGTCGTAGAAAAGTTTTAATATACTACTTACAACTAAGGGTTGGTTTACTCAGGTGCTCGCTCATTGCAGAACTTGGTGTTTGCTTATGTTTCAACGTTTTAACTGAAGACCGTACTTTTTGTATTGAGGAGAAACATATTTATGAGGGTGGGTCAATATGTAATGCAACTTGAAGTACATTTTCTAATTAAGCTCGTGATTCTTGTTTAAGTGTAAACTATGCTATGCTTCAAAGCATCTACTTTCAAATTATACCAAAATCATGCGTGCAGTCATCCGATTAAGACCTTATTGACATTGAAATAGTCAAAACAGATGTACCTCTGACCGGTTGTTTTTAATATAATTCAACCGGATTTGTGCCCTGACATAGTTACAATGATGTTTAAGTTTGACAGATTCTGAAAGTGTAAGGATGGGGGATTTTGAGGTTGTTTTTTTTTAAGCCTTTCCAAACTTTTTTATTATAATTATTGTTTTGGTAGTCAACTTAGCTGCCACGCTTAAAATATTTTGTTTTAAAGATATGTCATTTGATATAACACGTATTGTCAACGTAAATGGAACGTCTATTTATTCTTAAAGTTTATAAACCATTGACCGTCTTGCCAAACGCAAATTGCGCATGCGTGAGGAAAAAACATTATCCGATCGATTTTACATTTCAACATGCCATGCTGGGTCTGTTCGCATTAAGCTAAAATTGTATTTGAACTATTAAAAACCCCATTTATGTTTCATTAGTTTAAGTAATCAATTTAACCAATTGTGCAAATGAAGTAAATAATTGATATTATATAAGTTCATCAGATATACCTATAAAGATTGTTAAAAGCACATCAATTACAGATTTTTCATTTAAAAAATAGTATGTTAATTATTACAATGAAATACAGCTGAAAGGTTAAGCCGCTTAATTACTAAGACGTTATGAAATTTAAAACAGGAACTGTTATGATAGGATCAAGATTAAGTTGCGGCATAGCAGAGTGGTTAATAACAAGTAATCTATTGAATCAGATCGCTAGCCGCTTGGTTTCAAAACCCGTCAGGGGCAAATTGTTTTTTTCCTTGAGCCAGAAACTTTACACTCATTGCTCCATACTGGCAATCTGATTAAAATCAGCTCTAAATAACTCTTCGCGTTTAGATCTGACCGTGACCTAATACGAATTCATTTCTGTTTACCTTTCAATTAGCTAATAATCAGCGAGTTTTCATAATTTTGAAAGCGATGTGGTTTCTAAACAATACTGCGTAGGTAATTTTCACTTTTTCGATATCAAACATGGCGTTGTCCATATAGCCGACAGATAAAGTTGAAAAAAATCTTGCCCATTAAAATTGACTCTGTTTTTTCAAGTTGATTTGTTAAAAATTACTTCAAACAATTTTTTTTCTTCCCAAAATCAACAATTTGGTTGACTTCCGCAGATAACGGTACTTTAAAACTTTTCTTATGCCCGTGTAAAAACCGGTTTGATTGCACAAGCTGGTTCAAGGAACGGATTCAAAAGTGTGTCAATGAGCTTATAGCTTCCTACATTGTCAGCTAAACTAAATTTTGTATAAACCAAGATTGAAGGCGCCGAATTAATTTTCATTTTTAACGAAGTTTTATACGAAGTTCGGCTATTTTTATGGACTGTTACGGGTATAAATAAATATCTAGTAACTTCGTAAACCACTCTCTTGTTGCATGTGCGATTTCTGATTCGGTCCTGTTTGTACCAATCACTGCAGAACTTCATGTTTGACCATGTTTTTAAGTCAATTTCAGGCAATATTGTTTTGTGTTGCGGAGAAACATTTTCACATAGCGACAGTCAAAACGTCAAACTATTGAATATTTAATAGAATGACGTAAACATAATGCAAATAATGACGCAATAAATATCCGTCTGAATCTTGCACTATAGCGATTTTAACGAAATAAATGCTTTTTAATGGATTGCTCCATAAACCGCTACAATAGTGAGACTTTCGTTACAAGAAATGTATTTCTAGAACCCTTTTAACAGTTATCTTTATCAATGTTTGTTTGATAATTGAAGGGATAAATGATTTAAAATAATTGCATTAAATGTCTATGAAAGTTAGACATTTCAAAGCAAATATAACTAAAAAGCCGACATTTCAAAGCAAATTTAAACCATAATAAAACTAAATAGCCGATGAAATCACTTTATATTACAAAAATCATGCATCATAATCATTATTCTAAGCAAAAAAAATCAATTTTAAAAACAAATAGACAGTATGTAGTCAGCATTAATCTTACCTTTGTTTATAGACACTGCATTGCGTTATTTCTTAATTGATCTGTCCTGGGACGATACCGTGTGCCTTTGATAATGTGTGTGCGTGTAAATGGCCAAAGACAATGTTCTTTATCGACTTGCCAATTAACTTGCAACTTGTTAATATAACAAAGACCAATAACAATGCGAGTAATATGATTGGCAGATAACAGTGTCATATAAACTAAAGGCAACGTTTATATGCATGTTTACACCTGCCGTGTCAGTACAGTTTATCAACAAAAGAATTAGATCCAATATTTCGATTGTAATTCCGACCGACTTTACAAACCGATATTACATATTGATGTCACAGGGTGAGAAAAATGTTCAACCTGACCAGGACTCGAACCCGGACCTTCGGAATACAGTTTTGCGACTCTACCGACTGAGCTATTCGGCCGCATACAAATCCTCTCCCGTAAATCGTTAACAGTCCTGAACCGTGACATACTTCCACGCGATATTGAAATTCGTCCCCGAGTTTCTCAGGGTTACAGAGCAATGCTTATTAGAATCTGAGCTATATTCAGTCGTGGTCCCCCGTTGGGCAGTAAATGTCACAGGGTGAGAAAAATGTGCAGACTGACCGCGACTCAAACCCGAGACAATCGGAATACCGTACCGCGGCTCTACTGGCTGAGTCATCCGGCCGCTTACCCATCCTCTGCCCTAAATCGTGAACAGTTCTGAACCGTTGCATATATATCGGTCTTTTCGCCACAAGCAGTTCGATTCAAACTGTTTCGCAAATCAAACTGTTTTTCACTGCAACATGAAACTTTTTATATTCGCATGTTCATTTGTTGTTTGTCCCTAAAATATTTAAAAATTTACAATAACTGACTTGTTAAAATTAAAAAGGAACCTGTCGGTCACATGTAAATGTGCAAACATGATATCCAATGAAAACGTTTCTTTTCATTTGAACATATTAGTACATCCGAGGAGGTTGTACGCGAAAAACTCATACAAAAACGCTATGTCGTATCGATAAAAGTATATAGTTTGCATACATTTTATAAAAAGACACTGGTGGTTCAACATTATACTTTTGATCACTAGTCGCGGAAAAAAATCACTATTAAACTAAGAAAAAACGGAAGATCCATACGACCCTAGCCCCTCGTCCTCCGACAAAATTTCAGCAAAATAATAAATTTACATTAGAAATGTAATTAACAGTACTTACATGTTCATCCCATTTACATTATCACTGAATTGCGACATTAAAGTATCATTTTGAAAAAGAAAAGAACAGGCAGATGAAATGAATGTGTCTCGCAATAATATAACCACTTGTTTACAAAATAAGTAAGAGTTAACAACGCTCTGTTAGATCTCAAAAGAAACATGCATATATTCGAAAAAACACATGGTCAAAAGTACCAAATAGTCGTTAACCCGGATGTGTTCTCATTAAACGGTTTGCAGAGTCACATTGATGTGTTAACACAAATTATAACAAGTGTCATCTTAGTGCGCATCATTTTCCACCATTCCACCAAGAATTAAAGTAGCGAATAGCTTAACGTAAAAAAGTCAGATCTATTCGTTCAATGCGATCAAATATGCAAATATAGGGGTGTTATTTTTTTCACAAGCAAAACGACGCAAAGATCAGTTTTTAATCAGATGAATTATCGTGTGCTTTGTATTAACATAAAAGATAGTTTTGAAGTTTATTCAATTGTAGCTCAACACAATAAATTGATAGTCCATATTTTTTGTAAGTAAAGACAGGTATAAATCGTGATAATCTTTAAAAAGACAGTTAACTGTGATAATTCAGCGCGTACATTGTTTAGGGCGTTTACAACAAATCTTCCAAAACACACTGTTCACACATGCAATACAATTCATAGAACTGACACTTATGTTCAAGATGTTGTAATATATTTGCAGGAAACTGGGAGACACATATGATTTATAGGGTTATGCCGAAGTAATCATATGAAAGAGTTGCGGAAATTACTGACCACGTGACTGAAAAAAAATCTGAATAAAACTGAATTTCTAGAGCTTGTTTTGTGATTTAAGGAAACGTGATATTCTAGTTTTAATATGTTTATTGTAATTTTCAACTTCATTTTCCTGTATTGATGTGTAGATAACATAATGTTAAAAGAGAAAGAAGATTAAATGCGATTTAGAAAATAAGCAAACTCATTTATAAAGAGAGGTTTAATCCCCCGAAATGTTGGAGGTTGATAAACTTCAGTGTTGTTAGATTTTTTTATTACCCCTCACTTTTTTCGTAATGCTAATTTCCCATAGGCCTTTGGGAGTTATTTTTACTGTTAATGCAAGTGTACCGCGTGACTAAGAATTTTGTACTGTTAGCCTACATAGGTAACAGTATTTTTTAACAGTATAATATCTGGTCACGTGGTCTATTTTCTAAATAAAATGGCCGCCATTTTTTTGTTGAATAGTCAAAAAGTTAACATCCGTTTTCAACGGAAGTAATTGCAATGCAAATAATTATGTGTCAAACTGGAACATGCAGACGATTTAAGCATGCAACAAAGGATTATTTTACAATTCTAATCAGTGAAACGTTACAGATATGGTGGACAGACATAGGATATCATCGTTATTTTGTCAAAAGCCATGCTAAGAATATTCTGGAAACAGAATGATCAGATTTCACAGATCATAACCGTGTAAATGGGTAAGTGTTTTGTTTTCTAAATAAAACCTAGCTTATTGTATGTTTATGATTTGTAGATATCATCACTTGCTTAAAGAATATAAGAAAATGAAAACTTCTCAAGTAGGCCTAAAGTACACTTAAAACTTAAAAGTTAAGGACAGTTTAGTTATTGTTACTCTTGGTTTATTTTTGTTACAGTTAGATTTAGTTGACAATGCCAGATCATCACAGTATTTTTGTTCGGGGTAATAAAATAAATAACACATGGGTTTGTGAGTAACAGTAAAAATATCATCCCTCGTAAAAATATTGTTACCCTCGGCTACGCCTCGGGTAACAGTATTTTCCTCGGGATGATATTTTTACTGTTACCCACAAACCCATGTGTTATTTATATACTGATCCTTTGGGATCATTCATTCCAGCACTTTTAAGTGTGAAAATTGAGTACATCTCAAGCTGGTCCTTTGGGGCGTGAGCACTTTTTCATTTGTGATTTCTTATTGTTACCTTCATATAATTTTTTTTTCATTTCTTTTTTCTCTCTCTGGACATATACAAATAAATAAACATTCATTTTGTGATACTTATTACGCCCTGACGCAGAAAAGAATAAATAATAAACTATCTAATACATTCGTTTTCATCTCCTCAATTGTAGGACTTAAAGATAATATAGATAACCATATCAATTCCGAAATGGCATTTTTAACGATTCACACTTATACCGCTATACTAAACTTTAATTAAAAAAGGTATCTTATCTTAACCGTAAATATTTTGTTTCGTTTGTTTGGTTCTTCGGCATAAGAACATAGTTTAGGTCAAATGGTTCTGAAACAAGAAAGCTGATTTTGACTAACCTCGGGTGTTACAAACTTCAAGCAACATCAGGATCACAAACCACCTCTCTTCAACTGTTGGTGCTTAGATATGCATCCAATAATTCTTACCCATTTGGTCGCTTGTAAGGTAATACGGTGGCTGCAGTGTTGATGTTTCAACCCGTCACAATGGGCTTACGGTGAAAAAAATTGAATTTAGTATGGAATACTAGAACAACTCAATCAGAAATAAAAACGAATTAACTAAAACATGAACAAACACAAAACAACCATGTTGTGCTGGACGACCTTTAAAAACTATTTCACATATTTGATTAAGTGTGCGGAGGAAGACGTTGTAACACCTGCTTACGAACGAAATAAACGTTAAGCCTACTCTTAGCCTATTTTTGTATGTATTAAAGAAAAAGTACGACGTACTAAAAATGTAATGCAATCGAGTTATGTTTGTCTTTGAATGAGGTGAAAGAGCTTAAAACGCACATTCAGTTTTTCAGAGAGAGAGGCAAATGCATCTAATAAGAATAAACCCTGCCCTTTTCGTGAATCCGAACTAGCAACCATAAATTACCGCGTAACAACGCTCTGGAGAATCCTTGAGCCAAAGAATTGATTTCCCGTACTCATTTGTAGTTACTATGAGCATGTAGTTATGTTTGTGGTGATATATGAGCACTCAATCGTCACAAACATTATCTCTATTGTACAGACGCAATCAAATATTATATGCTGGCTTTCTGGTTATGTTTATTAGGTCAGAATGAATGTTTACTTATGATGCATTGCTAAATGATTCACATTAGCATGGGTATGATAGGAATCTTGTTATATTAGGATCAATCCTGATGAAGTCTATATGTAAAATGCACATCTATCACAAATTAACCTGCTAAATATACTGCACAATAGTTATGCATGTATGTTAACTTTAAAAGTATAATTCGTTGCACATGGGAAAACTGCATACGATTCAAAAATCCCTCTAACAGTCAATCAAATTGGACACAGTTAAATAGTTTCATGTAGTTTCGGGGGTATTACACAATGTGTTTGACCAACCAGCCGGACGAAACTTATCATATGACTGAATTAATGATTGGTATTTGTCTATGATTCAGCTTTACTTTGTGCACCAGTTGGTTTTCTCAGGAGTATTTCATGATGAATTGAAGAATTGGTTTTCCGTACAGGAAAGTTAGACACTACATTACGACCGTTATTTCAATTTGTCGTGAAAGTTAACGAAAGTTTTTAACAGAAGGGTCATTATCAATTATGATGGATAATCCTCAAAAGAGAGCATATACAGTAGTTAGGTAGAATGTGTTGAGTAGGAAAGTATAACAGTGGTGAGCAAAAATATTTGAAAACTCATCATTTGTTAGGTCAAATATATATATATATATATATATATATATATATATATATAATATATATATATATTTGAATGCATTTTTTGTTAATTAAACGACATATTTCGGGACTAAACATATTTTGCTAAATGTTCGATAGCCTTGAAACCTGGTATATATGCTCAATGGACGGACGGGCGGCCATACAAATGTACAAAATGGCGACTGAATTCTACGTTCCCACAGAGCAGCGTATCGCATTTTTGTTCTGTTATTTTCAAACTGACTCCATCAAACCGAGGCAAACCGCGTTTACAATTCTTTTCCTTTTACTTTTAATGATTTTTTTTCTCTCGAGGATCTTTTTTCAAGTACAACAAAATCTTTATAAATACTGTGTAGTTATGTTCATAACCTAAGTATATATTAAGTAGAAGCCCAGATTGAATTTATAAAGGGTAGATCAGTAAGTTAAGTAGATATGGTTATGATTATTGCCCACTGGAAAAAATGTTATATTTAATGTATTTTAACATTTGACACTTTACAAAATTTCGTAAATAACTTTGGAGTTTCGCTACTCTCAATAGAGGATATAAAGTGAGATATCAAGTGAATAACATCTTAATACTTGTAGAACTATCTGCGCAAGTCATTGGCCTGGAAGATACTACAATCATGCATCCATCTTCACTATTAAGCTTTACTGAATTTCAGTTAGTTGTTGCAAAAGTAATCGTCCTTTTATTTTGAAATTACAGGGGCACACTACAACTATGTATAAAAATTAATATTATGGAACATATCACTTACTTTTATATTTGCTAAAGGTTTCACTGATCCGCTCAGAAAAAAGGCGGACAAAATTAACATCCCACAAGCATTTAAACCGAAGACTTGTTTTACATGTAGCAAGTGACTATCAATTGTAAAAATGTAAACAAAGCCGACGAAGTCTAATAAGTTAGAATTATTATTGGAAAGTAACTTTTAGCATTTATTCAAACAGCTGTAACGATTTGTCACTTCACGAGAAACTAGGTCACATACGCAAATATCGGGGCGGATCAAGAACATGATATAAGGGCTATCGAAGATAAGTTAAATGTGCACTCTGATATATTTATCAGTATTCAAGTCACTCATAAAAAAGCATGTAACGTAACACCAATGTATCATAGCAAAGCCTTTTTTAAAAAGACATGACGAAACACCATAAATAGCTTACCATTTTGTTAAAGAAAATAGTGATCAACTATGTGAC